CCGGAGTTAAACCACAACACCCACCCATCGTTGCATCTCCCGTGCCTCCGCACGCAGCCCGGGAGAGTTGGCTGAGAACTGCCCACTGTCCTTAGCCACTGCTTCGGGCCACCCAGCCAAGGAGCTGGGCAGCTGCAGGCCGCGCTGTGCCGTACTTTGTTGTGGACTAACGAACACCTCCCATGCTGGATCGTTACTGTCTGCACTGACGAGTAGCATGAGGCGTTTCTGCAGGGAGGAAGGGTTGGTTACAAAATCAAATCCTTCTAGTGCAGACATGTTTCCTGGCCCTGAGTATCAATTCCCAAGATCTGGAGTACGTCTTCTTGTATTGTAAAACGTGATCGTATCCAAATGCAATTTTTCACTCTTGAATTGTGTGACATGATAATGATAATTATGTAAATTATGATAAATCTTGTTTGGCACCCATTTTATAGGCATCTTCTTAATGCATGTGATAGCTGAGATAAGCTTAAGCAATAGCTGTCTTATTTAATCCTTTTCAGGGCATCTTACATATATTCAGATGGCCACAGTGAAACAAGAGACTGGTTCTACATCTGCCAGGATTAGGGTGGAGATGCTTTACTGTTACTCACTCCTGCCACGTATTGCTGATCATAGAATCACAGAATCATAGGATGGTTTGAGTTGGAAGGGACCATGCAGTTCCAACCCCCCTGCCATGGGCAGGGACCCCTTCCACTAGACCAGGTTGCTCCAAGCCTCATCCAGCCTGGCCTTGAACACTTCCAGGGATGGGGCATCCACAACTACTCTGGGCAACCTGTTCCAGTGCCTCACCACCCTCTTCGGGAAGAACTTCTTCCTGATATCCAATCTAAACCTCCCCACTTTCAATTTAAACCCGTTACCCCTTGTCCTGTCACTACAGGCCCCTGTAAAAAGTCCCCCCCAGCTTCCTTGTAGCCCCTTCAGGTACTGGAAGGTGCTATAAGGTTTCCCTGGAGCCTTCTCTTCTCCAGGCTGAACAAGCCCAATTCTCGCAGCCTAAAGCTGTTTCACTTGAATACATGGAAATCAGACTTAAGCAAGAAAGGCCAAAGTGAAGTGAAAGGAACATTGCTCATGTCAAACTCTATTCACAGTTCTGAAACAGGAGAATAAGTCAGAAGTGCGATGGTCATTAGGATCTTGCTCCTTTTCAATGTGAAAATCATGCAAATGTTAATGAGAACCAACGGTTTAAAGAATCCGCTGTTCTCTCTTTTAAGTGAAACAAGTGAAGACACTACAAGACTGTATTTCTCAAGGCATTCTTTGGTTCAGAAAATTTATTGTCTGCCTTTCTGGTTTTCTTTTCTAAAGATCACTGGTGAGAATAATGGCAGCTGGCTCTGTATCAGTTCCTCAGGTCATACCTCTTCGAGTCCCTCTTCCGGGGAAGACTAAACATGAAATAGACACAAATACTCTCATAGAAATAAAATCAGGTATGAATAAGAGATTTGACACTGTGTAAAACCTTTCCTTATGCGTTCATTTTAGACTTTTAGCCTTTGTTTGCATTTAATTATTATTTTTATGAGTGCCCACTTCCTTGAAGAATTTATAAAATTAACCAACATGCTTTGATACGCCAAATATACTTGCACTTGATTTTCTGTATTCAAACAGTATTGCTGATATGAGTTATTTCATATATGTTAGCAGTCTTAATTGCTGCCAAGGTCAAGGTCTTAAGCTGTTGCATTTTGCTTTGACTGCAAAACCAGTGCTTGAAAGGATCATTTGCCAGACTCACCCCAAAGGTTTTCATTACAATTTTGAAATGCTGCCTTTCACCGTGGGAGAAAACATCTTTTCTGTCATTAGAAGGAACAAGCTGTTGCAATGCTTTCATACAAAACCATTGCACCGCTACTTTGTGAAGAGAAATACTGCTTATAATGAAATGGCATTAGTTGAGTAACTAGTTTTTCATGGGAGAAACAGCTTTTGTCCCCAAAATTCAGTCATTTGTGGAACTGCTTTATTTTGTTTGTGTGAGAAAAATCAAGAACAGTGGTGAGCACTGTGAAGCGCAGAGCTTGTTTTTCACAAGTTGAATAAAGTTTGGCTAATTCCTTTCTCTGTGTCTTGCAGATACACCCGAGGTCTCCATTTATTACACTTTAGATGGAAGTAAACCAGAACTCGTAAGGAAACCTGGCTATGGAGAGCATCACACTTTTAAGTATGAAGGTCCTATCATATTACCAGTTGGGAAAATAATTGTCAGGGCACTGGCAGTCACAAAGTAAGTATCCCGTTTTATTGTGGCGGGGCAGAGTCCCGGTGGTGGCTTGAGCCGTGCTGTTTAAAGCACTCTGTACCTCGCAGATGAGAGTTGCCCCAGCCAGCTGGCAATCTAAGTGATCTTCATGGGTTGCACTGACTTCACTGTCTCCTCACACTTTTTATCCATTGAGGGTTTGTGCGTATGGATTCTCTCTCGGATGTTTATCTCCTGGGCTGTGGATGTAGGCCAATGATCCGTAGAGGCTGTGGGCGAGAAACTAATAAATATGCTATACTTAGAGCTCATCCTTTTGAGCATCGTCATAACAATGTGCCAGCGGAACTACTGTGGTGTTTTCTGGGGTCATCCAGTGATTCAGCAGATTTATAGACATTGGTCTTCCCAAGAATCTGTTTATTTTCTCCCAAAGGAGTACAGAATGCTAAACCTCACAGTTTAAGTACAATGTTAGTATAAAGGTAAAGTAAATATACAGTGCATAGAAAGAAAACAGGCGTTTGCTGCACGGCCACTGATCTTCTCCAAACTAACTTCATGCTTAGAGACAGAGAGAGGACACGCATCCTCTGTCTGTACCCTGTTGTATTATCGTCTAGTTCCTGGGGAGCAGAAACTTCCACTTCAGTTGGGGGGTTCGGTTTGCTGTTTTAGCACTATTTAGCACTATATTTATGACTATTTATTGGTAAATAGTGGTAAATATAGTGCTAATAAATAATATTACAAGAATAAGCATACAATGTATAATAATATATTATTCTATTAGCATATTGTATTAATATTATAAAACATACATGCTATACAAATATAAACTATATATACTTAATACACAGATGTCCTCAAGGCCGGGCTGGACGAGGCTTTGAGCAACCTGCTCTAGTGGAAGGTGTCCCTGCCCATGGCAGGGGGGTTGGTACTAGGTGATCTTTAAGGTCCCTTCCAACCCAAACCATTCTGTGATTCAATAAATATGTAACTATAGATTTACATGTAGATATATTAAATAGTATATTAGCATTATGTGTTATTATACATTATTATAATATAGCATGTTCTATGATTAACAAGTATAATATAATTATAAGTGCTAATACATAGCAGTAAGTGATAATAAATAGCAATAAAATAGTGCTAAATAAATATTTAGCAATATTTACCACTATTAGCACCCACAGGTGGCCTTTGCTTATCTCTGCACTGGAATGTAACAACACTGACTTAAGCCCATGTGTATTTTCTGATATCAGTTCCTGGATTAACACTTGTTTCCAGTATGTTTTTATTGAGACATTGTCAGGTGGGTTAAATAGATGCTCTAGAATGACAATAAATCCTAAAAGAATAGTTTGGTCATTTACAGACATTTTAATGTTACTGCTGTAATTTAAAAAATGGTAGAGCATGACAGCTGTTATCTCAAATGAATGGGATGCTACCTGGTGCTTCACTGGGAAAATGGATATGGTACCTACAAATGCAAGTAAAGTCTTGTTCCTTGTTATTTGAGGTGATGCTGGCAAACAGTAGTTACCCTGGAAAGCAGATACAGGAGTATCAAGAGGTTTACATGTAAAAGATGTTGAGGGATTAAAATATTCATTTTATTGGTAACTTCTTAGTGTGCACATTTTAAAATGAAAATAAAAACCCAACCAACCAAACAAAACAAAACAAGGCAGTGGTTATTGAGAGTATTGCCCAGATTTATACTTAATAAGTGAAACAATGACTCGCAGGCTTGGAAGAGCTGTACCAACAAATGAGCCATGTTCATCAGTGATTTACTGTTTGCTGCACATGGGTTTGTGGCATCTGTATAGCTTTGTGAACAATGGTTTTCAGGGACTGCAGGGAGAGTACAGTTGTAACAAAGGTGTTTCTGGTGGAGTACAAGCAACCAAACATCCTCTTCTCTGTTGAAGACAACGACACGAATTTCCCAAAAGATATCGCCACACAGGCAAGTTTTAGTGACTTTAATTCCTTGTCTGAATAGAAAATGTTGTGTGTACAGTACTACTTAGAGATTAAAACTTGATGTCTATGCTCTGTAATATATTTTATTACCTCTGTTTGCCCATCTTTGCTGCCCCAGCCTTTTTTTAAATACTAAAATTTCTAGAGGACAAGGGTTTTTTTCTTCTTCACTGGTCATTCAGTTCTTACCAGTTCAGGTCCAATATTTTTCAAATACGTTTATAATCTAAAATTTTCAAATGCTTGCATTGAAAATAAGCATGTAATTTTAAAACCATGACAAATAACTATAGCAAGAGAGGATTAGAATAAACCAAATATTTCATTTGGAATTCAAGTGGAATTACTTTTTAGGAGAGGGAAGGTGGGACGTTTACTGCAAAACCAAAGAAGAATGCATTGAATGTGGGAATCAAGCCTGCCTGGAGTGAAGCACCCCAAGATTTTCAAGGTAGAGTATAATTTCATAAGACTGAAACAGATTTCTGTCTTAGCTGAAAATAGGCAGTGAAAGGTTTTCCTCCTATATCACTGGTAAAATATGGATAATTTCAAAACCATCTCAGAAGAATGAACACTCTGGGAATATCCAATTTTGATTGCTCAACACTCCAAATAGAGAACAAAATTAACCTCCATACTTATCACATTGTCTCTGAAAACATATCAAAAATCATTCTTTTCTGAGCAACATAACAAAGCCCTGTCTCTTTTCCCTTTGTACCAGAAAATGCTGTTAAATGGATGGGATTGCAAATCCTTTATGGAGTTCTTCACTGATGTTTGCTTGCCGTAAGATTCCAAAATAAGTACACAAAGCAGACATGAAAACTTGACCCAGATTTCCTCTATAGATGAAGCCTGTTACTCCATGGTAACAGCAATGGGACTGTTTGAGAGCAAGGAATCATATTAATATTTATTCATTAATTTATGCTTACAAGCTGGATTTTTTTAAGCATGAAGGAGGGAAGAAAATAGAGAAAAATACAAAACTATGCTCTTTCAGAGAGGAATGAGGTTTCTTCTACTTTGATTTCTTGTAATTCCATGCAGTTTATTTGAACCCAAAATCTGGATGTCAAATACAGCCTTTAATGTGCTTAGCTATTGAAATTCAAAGCGAGAGTATGTAATATCCATGTTAGGGTATATGTTAACTGCATGAAGTGAATGACAGTGGAATAACAGGATTGTAATTGTAGACTTGGAAGCAGACAGAAAGACTGCTCGCAGGTCCCTGCAAGGATCACAACTCCTTGCCAGTCATTTGGAAACAACGGAGTACAGGGAGGAATCCATCTCAGCACTACCAACAGAGTCACTACAGGTAAGCACAAGGCTGTCATCAGAACTGAGCTCTGCAAAATAAAGATGTGAAGATTTGTGATCATTTTCATACAATCTCTGAGAAATTAATGCCTTTGGCTGTGTTATACAGTACTAATCTAAATTTAATGGTAATGTTACACTAGAATAGGAATGCCCCAAGCAGGACACAGTTGTCAGGAAGGACAAAACCAGGTTGTTGTGGTTTAACCCCAGCCAGCCACCAAGTACCATCTAGCTGCTCGCTCACCTCCCCTTCCCCCACTGGGATGGGGGGAAAAATCGGAGAAAAAGACAAGGAAACTCATGGATTGAAATAAGAACAATTTAATAATTGAAAATAAATGGAATAATATGATACTAATAATATTAACAATACTATCGTTAATACTAATAATATGTAATGAAAATAAGGGAAAAGAAAACAAATGATACAGCTGCCCGCCAACCAACACCCAGCCAGTCCCTGAGTAGTGAGAGCCAGACTAAGCCCAAGAGAGCAGGACCCCTAGCCCCCCCCCAGCTTATATACTGAGCATGACGTTTGATGGCATGAAATGTCCCTTGGGTCAGTTTGGGTCAGCTGTTTGGCTGTGTCCCCTCTTGCAGAGCAGAAGCTGGGAACACAAGTACAGTATGAGAAACTGAAAAAGTCCCTGACTTGATATAAACAGCTGAAAACATTAGTATTATATCAATATTCTCCTCAGCACAACCAAAACACAGCCTCATACTAGATACTGTGAGGAAAATTACCTCTGTCCTGGGTAAAACCAGCACACAGGCAAAGCAGATTAACAACACCTGCATTCCTACTAATTCCCTTCTAATGCATTACTGAATCTGCAATTAGCAAATAATTAATACTATAGGTTGACATGCTGATATTTAAAACTTAATATTCAGTAACGCTGTCTTGGAAGAAAATAGCAAGATGTTGATTTATTTTTATTGGAAGAAGCTGTGGATCCTTAATGCAGCTAACGGGGGAATTGATTGTGGTAGGTATTCCCTAAAGCTCTGCATTTCAGTGCAGTTTGTCTCAAGTAACATCTTTACCTGATTTTGCTATTCTTATATGCATTTTGCAAAGATTTCTTTACTAAGGCTAAAGAATTACTTTTATTTCAGTTTCCTGGTTCTTCTGCAGTGACTAGCCGGAAGAGCTTAGCAAGCACACAGGTGGCAAGGATCCAGAGGGAAACAGATTTCCTCAAGTAAGTGCCTTCTCCTTTTAACATATTTGTCCTTGGAAAGTAACTGAGGAATTGTGTTTTGCAATCAAGTTGATGATACTGTGGGGCTCTATAAAAACGAGGAAAGCAAAGACAGACACTGGCTCATAACTGGAGAATGTCAGTGTCACAGGTTAGTGCCTCTTGATACCGGAAGGGCTGTGTGACCTGTATCAGTGGTTTGCCATGTTGCAGCAGCGAGGCCTGATACAGACTGCCTGTCAGGAGACTAGTTTACCTCACGTGGTGAGGAAGAAGGTACGGAACTCTGTAGCAGCCAGGGAGCTTTTTACCTTGCAAAGATGTGTAGAGTTCAGAACCTCATACCATAGATGCTGGGGCATGGTAGGGTGGACCACCGTAGCTTGGAAACCACAACGGAGAAATCAGCGGCCAAAGTCTTGTCACAACAGGTTCCAGATTAATCATTAATATGCAGCAGTACAATACCAAAACAAGCTCAGCCAGTTTGCTCTTATTTTCAGATGTGCCCACTGTTCTGCACCTCGCCTGTGTGACCCACTGGCTCACTTCTGTCAGGAGTGTGGCTTTCCTGTCCCACCTGTGCCAGTATGTCGCTTCCCACCCCCTGAAGGAGAGCAGGTCAGCAAAACATCATAACAATCAACAAATCCTCTTTGGAGAAACCAAATTCCTCAGCAAATGACACATACAGTGCTGGAAAAAAACCCATTATTTAGTCACACTTTCATTTGGGAAGCTCTGTTCTGATTGTTTTGTTTTGTTCAATACCTTTAGCATTGGACCTGATGTAATTCTTAAACGATGGGCAAAATTAACCATAGTTTGCTTCAAGTGCCGTATATTTTAATAAGGATAACCATGAGAATGTAAGCTGTGTTTTATTCACTTGTGCCAGGAAACATCACCAAATTCAGATTCCGCCTCATCCTGCAACAACCACCACCACATCTTTAGGACCTGCATATGCGTCTCGTTCCAGAGCTCATTAGTGCAGCCAGTTAGAAACTCGTGCCTATGTCATAGCTGTAGAAGATCCACCTAATATGCCTGAAACCCTAAAAGGTGGCATGGGTGGGAATATGTAAAAACACCGACTTTTTTAGTGATGCCTGTAACTATCTTCTCTAAGTTTTTCCCAAGAGATAATGACCTGATCTAACAAGTCATTGGTGTATTGGGTTTTTTCTTGTATCATCAGAAAGTCGCCTGGTCTGAGGAGATGTTGAAGTTTCAAGTGATGACTGAGGATATTCAGCACCTCTTTAGATTAGGTTTGTAATTAGGAGGATTTGAACTACCTGCACACATTTTATAGTAGCATTTTAAATTAACTGAAAATTAATGTAGTACCTTTCTGGCATATTTTTAGCAGTAGGTAAAGCATTCTCTTTCCAGTTGTCTTCACATTTTCTCGATAGCTTTTGACCTTTCAGGATCAATATCAACATCTGTTGCTGTCAGTTGCTGTGTTTCCAGTGTCTTTGCTGCTGATGTAGACTCTAACCAGGAAAATACTGAAAGCCTCGTGATGACCTTAACGATCTCGTGATGGTACTTAACATGCTGTGATGTGACTTCTTCAGATGGCACCATGCCTTGAATGCAGACACCTTGTGCCAATGAATACGCCCACTTGCATTGTATGTGAGTCGCCAATCGCTCCACAGCTGCAGCCCCGAACCAACAACTGCGTAAAGGTACTTTAGAGTAAACATAACAAAATCGCAATTTACCTCCTGGCATGCATTTTTCTAACGATTTACCTCATTACAACTATATCTTGATGCAACCTGGGTTTGTGTAATTACATTATGACAGCTTTAAGAGTTAGAATGAAAACCACCTTGAGTAGAAATAATCGTTGAAGGGAAACCCCGCGAGCTCAGGAAGGCGTGCTGAAGAGCACGTGATGTAGCAGTCTGAACGACAGGAACGCGCGCACTTGTGTTCAGTAGGGAGATATTCTACGATCCTGCTATTCATGCCCTTAGCATTCCTCAGCATTTTAAGTTTATTAAGTATGTCCTCATTCCTCTGCTTACCTCGTTTGAGTCTAAGTGCATAGCACAGACGGGCTGGCAGGCCTGGAGGAGTGGGTGTACACCCAAAACATTACAGCACAGTCTCGATCAGTGATCCAAAAGTGCTGGTGGTCTCAATTAGAAAAGATTTGTCCTACAAAAATACACCCTACCCAGGGGTGTGGGGACCCAACTAGGTGCCCTCCTTGATCCCCCTGATCAGGGGAAACGGTGTGAGGAGGAGGACTGATACTGCATGTCCACGATTGGTTGCAGAGCTGGTGTTGGCGATGAGGTTTTGGTTTCTGTGGTAGTGGGACCCTGCTTGAAAATCAACAGCTCCTTGGGAGAGATGGGATCACCTCACAGGGCAGAGGTATCTTTGCCAGCAGGAGAGCTGGGCTAGTAAGAAGGGATTTAAATGAGAAATGATAGGGGAGGGAAGGGTTACCAGCACCCTGTGAGGGACTGATGGACAGGGCTGACAAGCAAAGGGTCTTGGGTGATGTGGACAAGAGGGAACGCTTAGCTAAATGTGGCTTACGTGAGTCTACCTCAAGCATTTGCATGTAAGCAAGGAAGTGCCTATAAAGCTGCATGATGGGGAAACCTCCCCAGACCCTTTCTGTAAACTGAGCATCCTGGGGTGCCCCTCTGAAGCTCCTGTACAGTAACACAAGGAGTATGGTGAGTAAACCCAAGGAATTGGAGTCTGTGTGCAGTTGCAGGGCTGCGATCTTGATGGGAACGCAGAGACGTGGCTCACATGACTGTGGGAGACATTGCCATCGGTGTCTGCTCTGGACCACCTAAGCAGGAAGAACCAGTGGATGAGGCCTGCTACAGACAGCTAGAACTAGGCCCGCATTTGCAGGTCCTGGTCCTGGCGGGACTTTCAGCACCCCACTATCTGCTGGAGGAACAATGCAGCAGGGCATAAGCAATCCAGAGATTCCTGGAAAGCATTGATGACAACTGCTTGATACAAGCAAGGGAGGTGCCCGCAGCACAGGTTTCAGGGATCTCTCCTATCTGCAGGGCTGAATAAACACTTTGTAAGATCATGTCCTCCTCTTGTTATTGTTGTTCGCAGTTTTCAAATACCAAGTGAAATATATTCTTTCTCGTTTAAAAGGGTAAAGTAATTTGTCAGGCATGTGGCACAGGAAATCCTCTTCACCATAAACACTGTGTGACGTGTGAAAGCAAACTGCCTGAAATACAGACGGTAAGGCTTCTTGCACCAATCACACTAGGGTGAATCAAATCAAAGCATAACATTCTTTTTCTTTGGAAAACTGAAGTCATATCCCAGTGTGCCGATGTTACAGAAGCAGAGAATCCCTCCTCATGTCATATGCAAGCCCAGTACTCCCACATAAGCTCCATCACAAATGTCCAACTAAACTAAGTGTATCTTATCCCTTCAAGTTTCTCCTGTGGAGGTTGGGATTGCATATGCCCTTGTGGAAGCTCAGAAGGTTTTTAGAAAACAGGTAGCCGTGGCTCCAAGGGAGTCTTGTTTGTGTTCAGATTATTTTCAACTGCAATAGAAAACTCAAGTATGTACATCAGGAAGATTGTTCTCATTGATTTCAATTATTTTGTGAAAATAAAGTATTCTTTCACATTATTTTTCTTATCTCCATTTGCGGCTACCCCTACATGCATACAGCTACTATGCTTGTATTTGGCTGTGACTCTTCACAGAGGTGAGAAAAGCAACACTAAATCTTCCCCCTTACAACTGTTGTCTGTCTCAACTCCCCATTTAGCTTGTTCATTTGGTTCCTTAGAAGAATTTTACTTTCACTTCTGGAAAGTCTTGTATGAAAACCTTATGGTACATTTCACTTCTCCAGGTTGTGATAAGTACAGAAATGAGAGAATAATGATTTTCAAGTTAAAATCTTCTGCTTATATTAGCAACATCCTGAGTTCCAAAACCTTCAGTAGCTAGATGCAAAGGTCTCTTGTGTAGCCACTGAGGTGTCATTTCAAAGTGAATTTCAGTAGGAATCTGTACTTACCTAAGGCAAACAATGTTTAACTGCTTCAGTGACTGTAGATATTAATATGTAGCTGCGTATGTAATCAGGCATATGGTAAGATCTGTAGTAGCTGAGAGAGAAAGGTAAATGCTTACTGAATTTTTATGAATAGCAATCAGAATTTTACTAATAATAGTGATTAATTAGTGATAACAGTAGTAATTCCTGAATAATTAGTAATAATACTGGTATTACTATTAATGGTTATTAAATACTTTAGATTTAGAACACGTTTAGACTTGCGCTTTTGTAAATTTTATCTCCCAAACAAACACCGAAGTTACATTGTTCAAATTGCAGTGCAGGCCACAGATGAAAATGGGGCTATTTCGGGTTTGTTTACTTGCTATTGTGGTGCCTGTAATCAAAATGATTTTCCTCGGGTTTTGATCCTTATCCATATTCATGACTTGCAGAGAAAATAAGCTGCAGAAGCCCTGAGGCAAAACCTAACAAAACATTTTAAAAACTATTTGTCCTAACTGTAGCCTATAATCAACCTCTAGAAGGTTCAGCTGAAAAATCTGTTTTCTTTTGCATACCCATATAAGTTAATTGTAGTAGGAAAGCTAGATAATATAAAACCTGTATGAGGTAAAATAGTGAAAAAAAAGTATTTATGTACCAAATATCAAACTGAGAGAAAACTCCTTGTCTGAACACATTCTCCCTGCCATACTACTACAAAGAAAGGCACAAAGAAAAACGGCTGTTGTGTTCTGGGTTTGAAAATCTAAGTTTATCAGCAGAGAAACCTCCCTCTTAACCTCCCTCTTAACTTTGAGTGTACTTATGCACTGGGCAATATTCATACATGCTCAGTGTAAAAGGACGCAATTGATAAGGGAACTATTTTTTTTTTTTTTTTGCACTCAGTGCTACTAAAAATATTTGAAAATTATTTAATGCCACATTTTACTGTGGTTTTGTAATGAAAAGAATTACAGGTTAGATCCAAGTCAGTCTGTTGCTTAGTCTAAGTTGAAATAATTTTTAGGATGAATATTACTTGATGTTATCCCAGTAGCTTGCTTCCTCCTTCACCTTATTTAGCTTGTGAACTTTTCTGCATAAGGAATATTTTCTCCCTAATGCTTGTCTTTGTTTTATTAGCCGATATTTGGAGGAGACATACCCCCACCTTATCCCAGCCAGGAAAGGAAGATGGTTTCATGCTCAAAATGCAATCGCGTCAACCAGTGTGATGCTCGTTTCTGTGACTGGTGTGGAGCCAAGGCACGTGCTCTCGGTGTTTGTGTTGGCAAATCGGTTTTCACTCACCTGTGACCTGCAGCAATTTCAAACTTAGCTTTGCAAAACTCTTCTCAGTTAGTACAGAGCTTATTATTATCAAAGTACTTGCTTAAAGCACATAGGATTATATAAAGTAAAATTAAAGGCTTAGATGACCAGTGGAAGGTGTTCCTGCCCATGGCAGTGGGGCTGGAAGTAGATGTTCTTTAAGGTCCTTTCCAACCCAAACCGTTCGATGGATCTATGACATCCTGACCCCATGTCAGTCAGTGACTTAAGGGTTTAGAGATGTAAACAAATCACCGTGGGTCAGTGAGCATCAGCTCATTGCTTCAGCTGAAATGCAATAGCTGTGTACTCTGCCAAAGTCACTTCTCCATCAAAGGCTAATGTGTAGGCTAACCTAATGCGAGTTTTGACATATCTCGTGTGGGCTGTGATCACCCATGCAGGTACCCATACCAGAGATGAGATGATGCATGCAATTTTTTGGGGCTGAAGGCCTCATTAACTTCACTGAAGACAAGTAGTTTCTCTCAACTGCTGCACAGTAGAGTTTTTGCATGGTACAATCAATGTAAGCAATTTCCTCTGGCATATATTAAGTGTAGTGTTTCAAGCTAAGATCACATTTGGGGAGAAATTTCTTGTTTTCTGTGAGCTGAGTCTACTTAAAATGTTAAACATTCCCCTATATGCCTATACAACCATCGGTCCTGTACTGTACCATGGGACTCGGGGTGGTGGGGGTAGCGTTAGAATTGAACAGGAAAGAATTGCTGTCAATATTCAGTATCAAAGCGCATACTAGTAACAGCAGGACTTTGCCAAAGAATATAAGTATTTTTGAAAGTGTATGTTAAGAAATAACATGCCAAAATGCTAGATCTGTCTGAAAAAATGTTTGCCCTCATAGCACAGTGCTGAGATAGCTGAAGATTTACTCTCTTCCCTCTGCCTGTGTGTTAGCAGGCTGGTATCCTGGTTAATATTTCTAATCCAATAGCTTCAGGTAGTACTACCTGACTTCTTTTTCATTCACATCACTGCTTTTATGTTTCCTGAGCCATACATCATCATGTGTTTCTGTAGTGACAAGTGTTTCATTCACCTTCCCAGCCTGGACCTCCTCCATCCTACTTCAGTTGTTTCAAGTGTGGTGCAAGCAACCGTCCCTACGCTCGCTTCTGTGGGTCCTGTGGTGCTTTCATAGAGCCCCCATCAAGGGTGGGTTCTCAGAGTGGCAGTCTCACGGATGCTGGGGACTCGCTGGCATTTTCTGAGGTAAGACACACGGTGATGTGAAGCTGGGCTTGAACACAGCTAAAAGGCTAGTCCAGTGCAGACCTGGATTGGCACAACTCCGTTCATTCCCTCTTTGAGACATCTTTGTGGTCTGTGAGCATGCTGAGGGCAAAACTAAGCATATATTTAGTCTGAGAACTGCTTTCTGCTGAAAAATAGCCATAGCCAAAGGCCTTAATCCAACCTTATTCTAAATAGGAAAGTCAGAAACAATCAGCTTTTCAAAAGCCCTAGCTCTTTAAGTGCTTTTATCTTATTGCTGGTGAATTATTTGTGTCCTGCTGATACAAGGTATTCTTTCATGCATATGTAACAGTGCTTTGAAACTCTGTTTTAAAAAAAAAAAAAAAACAAAACATAATACTTAGCGAGGCCCGCTTTTTTCCCACAACAGTATACATGTCGTTCTGCTGGCAATCATGAAGAGTTTTGCTTTTGATTGGCCATCTGTAATAGGCTGCTTCCTTGTTACAGACTGGTAATTAAAATCAAGAATTGTTAATGATTCTTCTAGCTAGCTTTTTCATTCCTTTACAACTTGGTATACTTGTAAGCCATTTAATTATACTTTTTCTTTCTCTCCACTCCCCACAGGCTAAACAATTTCAGCCTCTTCCTACTTCCTTGCCGAAATCAAGGGCAGAACTGAAAGAGAGAGAAGATAAAGGAACCCAAACCATTGGACTTTTTTACCCATCTAGCAAACTGTTGGAAAAGAAGGAGCTTGAGCTGATTTCTCAGAAAGAAAAGCTGGAAAAGATGAGCGATCATAAGCCTCTCCTGACAGCCATTAGTCCTGGAAAAGGTTAGGAGTTTTGATTTTATGTTTTCTAAACAAAGCTGCAATATATGACCTTGCTTTTTCTTGAAAAGATTATGGTCTATGGAATGTGTAAATCAGTGGGACACCTATTTACATCTTTACAAGTCTGTCTTCCCACTAGTCTCGTGTAAATGCAGTGCCTTCATCTTCAGATCACTGATCTCCATCAATAGCTAGAAGAAAGCCTATCAACAATACCAAAATTATGGTTTCTGGCCTCTGTGCAGCCTTACTAATTTGCCAGTAGTTTGGTTTCCTCAGATCTTACAAGATCAGGGGCAGGTGTCCTATATTTGAAATGGAAACCACTGAACAACTACCCCACACCCCAGAACACTCCCCAGCCCTGCACCATGCAGTTCAGTTGGACCCGCGATAGCTCCTGCTGGGAGTACTGTTAAACAAAGCTCTGTGACAAACTTGTCTGGGGTGCTGTAGTGGAATAAATCACAGAAGCTTCGGAAGCAAAGGAAACTAAAGTAGAGAAAGGGATTCTTAACAGGATTACAAAAAATAGGGTTGGTAGAAACCTTTGAGAGGTCTTGCAGGCCCCATCTTCCAGCCCCACAAAGGTACCAGTACAGCTACATCGCTCATTGCAGAGACTGTTCCATGCACAGACTACTGTATCAGTACTGCAGACGACTTTGGTTCACAGCCCCTGCTTTGGGCACTTAGCTCTTTGTGAAACCATTTGACTATTTGCTGTCATTAAAAAGTTTGTAACTTTTAGAGACTTCAGTTTTACTATCCTTGGAAAGCAGCTTTCTGGATCCCAAGCCCTTGAAAAAGGTATTAATTAGGGACCTAATAAATGGCCAATTTGCAAACTTGTCTTTAATCTCACAGGGAAGTCCAGCTGCATAATCCAGAAAATAGGTTCATTTTAAATCACTACAGCATCAAACCATGGTTTGGAGGAGCAGTTACTTTATTTGATCCACTTTCCCAACTCTAGCTCTTTTCTACAGAGGGTTTACCCCTCAGGCTGTTATCAGAATTATTTATCTATTGGGTTTATTATTATTTATATTTCTATTATATTATGTTTCTATTATTATTTATCTATTGCTAATGAATGTTAGAAGTTCCTGCTTTGACTCTGCATATAAGTGTCCAGATGGTGGACTTTTATTTTTTAAATTATCACTAGGGAAATCTGTTTTCCTACTCGTTTGCTCTGAAATGTGGCGTATTTTCTTAGACATCACTGTAGGAAATACAATGCTTGACTCAACATGTCGGGGATCTTAATTTAGTCAGAGGTGATAAAGGATTGGCCCATACTAGTGCTGAGCGGAAAAAAAAAGTAACACTGAATATTCATATATATCTATCAGAAATACAGCTCTTGACTTGTGGGAGAGAACTCCTTTTACTGGGAAAGGTTGGGAAGAAATGCTGAACTGCTTTTGAACTGTGTTAATTTTTATCCATTTTGTTGAAGTTGCACTGTGTGATGTATTCTCCTTCAGACCCTGCCAAGCTCCAAGGAACATATTTCATTCTATAAGCCAATAAATGTCTGTTACAGTCAGGTCTTTCATGCTGTTCCCTCTCCTTGATGCTGAGCTGTATATCTGGCTAGAAACTACATGTATCAACAAGACCATATGCTATCACCCCCGAAAATCGTGTTCATGTATGCCAAATATGTCCATTACTTCTTCAATTCAAATAACACCAGACGTTTGATATTGGAGTTTTTAAACAGAAGTGACTAAATAAGTGGGAATTATTTATTTTTATTTCTTGACCACATCAGCCATTAACTAACCTTCTTTTGTGAAGATTAAAAAAAAAACCAGTTAGGACGGGGGAAGTAACAGCAGTACCAAAACACTAATCCTCTGATGTGTACTGTAGTCCTTTTTTTGCTGCACTTTCAGTTTTGAACAGGAGCCAAGTAATTTAGCAGGTAAACGTTACCAGAAGCCTCCCCTCTTCTACTGTAACAAACAGTAAATCAGTGGGATATAGGTGTAATCAGCTACTGACAGCATGAATTCAAGTATTCCACCCGTGCTGCCAAAAATCCTTTTAGCTGTAATAAAACGTCAAACATGCAAGAATATGTTCCTGGCCATCTGGATTTTTTGAAATAAAATCTGGGGATCTAGGCTACTTATAAACCACCTTATTGCAAATAATACTGACTTCTGTGGAGGGATCAGTCACCAAACAGTAGTCTAGCTCAGATTTTTAATTACTGTTTTCAGCTTGACTTCTGCATGTGAGACCATGGCAGGGAACAATTTATGTTGCTCTGTGCATCCTTCTTTTTATATTCCTCTAAAGCTGCCTAACATATAAGATTTGCTGGTTTAGTTTGTCATAGTTTCTCCCAGATTGATCTTGGAAGAATTCTCCAAGCACAAAAATCCTTGTGCACTTGTGTAAAAGCCAGAGAGCAGCACTTTTCTTCTGACTTGTCTTCTTTTCACTATTTTGAGCTTTATTTAACATGAAGGGAAGGATAAGGTCAGAGCTACTTCATTGTGTCAGGTAAACGAATTACCAAGCCTACACTGTTTATTTACAACAAAATAAATCATACTCTGTACTTTCCATAAGTATGCTCAGAAATAAAATTAGCCACATACTGATAACAATCCCTTAAGAATGAGAGCAGGTCCTTTTGTTTCTTTCTCTGATGAAAATAGAGAAATACTTGGACATGAGCTGCAAAAACTCAAAATGGCTTAAGATGAGTTTTGAATCCAGGAACATTCAGCCCCACCATGTTTCACGCCCTGTACCAGCATAGGGAGCTGGACAGGCTGG